TACTTGGCTAGTGTCCATGTCTACCTCTATTTTCCATGAATGATGAGCTCTAAAATATTTTTTTTGGTATTCCTTGTTTTTCCACTTAGTCCCTGCCTGAGTCCAAATGTGTGGAAAGTTGTCATCCTGGATTTGTCAAGAGGGCTCGGGAAGGAGAGCCAGTTTGCTGCTACGACTGTGTTCCTTGTCCGGAGGGGACCATCTCCACTCAGGAAGGTGGGTAACACCGGGGGGGGGGAAAGGTGCTGGTTTCATCCATAGCATTTTGACCAGGGTGCCTGTTAAAAGAGACATCTAGGCTTGCCTATTTTGTTCTTGTTCTTTATTTTCAATTGCTTCCATTGTGGGAAGAATGAGAAAAAGATCTTGAAGGACGAGGTAGGAAGAGATGGGAGGACATGGTGGATTGGGAAAGGTTTCTTCCGTCAGATGAAATCTCCCTTCTACTTATCGGTTGGGGAGCATCTTTCCATGTTTACCTTTCTTAGGAACATCTGAATTCTTTGAAACTTGAGGGGTGGTTCCAGGTCAATGGATTTTGCTCAGCCTAAGCAATGTTACATTACAGGCCAAAGGACACATCAGCCAATCAGTTAATCTTTATTGCGATCACAGAGCCACAAAAGCAGAAAAATCTAACACGGAGGGAGAGCAGTCAGGTTCAAGAGACAGGACGAAGCCGAATGGAAGGCTCCCCATAAAATCCACCGAGAGTTTATCCGCGTGAGAGGAGGGGGTGACAGCTAAGTTTTCCATTTTATGGGTAAAATCTCCCTTTTTCCTCACCATGAACGCTCTAAGTCTCCATGCTATGAATTAGGAGGTAAAACACAAAGATTGTTTATAGGCCAGCTCAACAGGCTTAGCACAACCACCATCACGGATTACTTGGTAGGATTCCTGCTGGTTCTTCCTACTTCTTGTTTCCTCTCCTGTTTCCCTCTTAGTGTCAGTTGTCATCCAAAGAAAGTTTTTCTTGAAATGTGAAAGGGGAGACTATAAAACAGACAGTACTAAAAAAAAAAAAATTACTTTCTTTTTTTTCTCAGATACTGAAAAATGCACCAGGTGCCCAGATGATCAATATCCAACTGAGAACAAAGTCCAATGTATCCCCAAAAGAATAATCTTCCTGTCCTATGAAGAACATCTGGGCATCATCCTGGTCTCCTTTGCCCTACTCTTGTTCCTCACCACAGGCCTTGTTTTAATCATATTCATTAAGTACCTAGAAACTCCCCTTGTCAAAGCCAACAACCGGGACCTCTCCTACATCCTCCTGGTCTCCCTCCTGCTTTGCTTCTTGTCCCCTTTTCTCTTCNGTGGATTTGGGGTTTTCATGAGCTGTATGCCATAATCATCACAATTATGACAAATCACAACTTGAACTATCTTGCTTTGCATGTAATGAGTCTATCTCATATGTTAGTTTCACTTTTTAAGTTGCATTACTGAAATAAATGAACTTTTGCACGATATTCTAATTTTTCGAGTTTCTCCTGTATATAATTGAGAAATTTTGTCCATTTTACTTTATCAATGTATGATAGATTCATTTTGCTGAATCTTTCTTTCTCACTTTTAAAGATAGTAGTAACTCTTCTTCTTCCAACTAAGAATACCTGCAAATCATGGAGAAGAAAGATTCAAATGTGAAAAGACCAGATGAGATAAGAAACCAAAATTTCTGCTTTTAACATTTCTGGATCTTTTCGTTTTAGTTTCATCCTTTTCTGGCGAAGCACAAGTTTTGCAATCTTTCCAACTTTAATTTGTACTTGGATCAAAATGGAGATATAGCAGCGGCTCTTCGCCTCAGGACTTGGGTAGTTCTCCCAAATATGAGATTAATCTACCAGTCCACAGGGACTTTTGAAAGAGAGACTCTGATTGTCAACCAAAGTGCTCTTTTAAAGACAAACTTGCTCAACAAGGTGTGTGAAGTATTGGCTCTTTTTCTCTGTTTTCCAAAGCCTTAGGACCCATTTCAAGTCTGCTAAGCCTAATCACCATGATGGATATCCTTCAGTGAGAAGTGAATGTGGGAATGATCATTTTCTTAAACTGCTTGGGAGGCTTCAATATTATACAACGTTTGGAGGGACGTGATCTCAATGACCCCACCTTCACCTCTTCTCACTACAATTCTAGAAAATAAAGAGTTTGTTTTATGCTTGTTTCACCAGCATGGCAGCTATATGAGTTGAGCAAATAAATATGCAAGAAGCAAAGAAGATCTGGTCTAAAGTTGATAGCCTTAATTCAAAAGGACTTTTTCCTTTGTCTGTTAACTGGGAGATTGTTTTGGACAACTGTCAGAGGGAAGATTCTCCAGAAGAAGAAATCTTTGCTTATCCTACTGGTCAAAGATTTCTTTCTTCATTACAGTTTTTCTCTCTTTTAATAAATCTGGTACACAAAAATGTATTAAATCTAAAATGTATTCTAAATTTAATAAATTCTAAAATTTAACAGGAATAGGTCAGCACCCTTTAAAATCATGGCTTTATAAAGAAGAGAGGAATGCATGTTAACAGGGTCATTGGAAGAACTTTTTGAATGACACTTAACTCTTAAATCTTTTTTTAATTTCATCCCTCCACACTTCATTAAGTGGAAAAGTTATTTCTTGCAATGCAATATGTCAGAAGCAAAAGGCAGGAACTAAATGAAGAATCTGCCTGTAATTGTGTTTCCTGCAAGCAATTGCAACTAGTGAGAGATTTCATAATTTATCTAAGGGCAGACTAGACGCTAATGAGCTTATGTCCATTTCTCCCCCCCCCCATTTTCCATGGATGGTGAGTATTAACATACTTGCTTTGGCATTCTTCCTTTTTCTGTACAGTCCCTGCCTGAGTCCAAATGTGCGGAAAGTTGTCATCCTGGATTTGTCAAGAGGGCTCGAGAAGGAGAGCCAGTTTGCTGCTACGACTGTGTTCCTTGTCCGGAGGGGACCTTCTCCAATCAAGAAGGTGGGTGGGAAAAGAAAGCATTGTGGAAATGGAATCATCCAGAACATTTTGATGAAAGTACATATTGAAAGACACATTGAAGCTTACCATTTTCCTTGTTTATTGTTGAAATGCACAATTTCTTATCTAAGGGGATGAATAACTAAAAAATCTTGAAGTAGGACTAGGAAGAGAAAGGAAAGGAAGGCGGATAGGGCAACCTTTACCATTCCCAGGGAAAACAATTTTTTTTTTTTGCTTCTTAGTTTGGATGTGTCTCTCCATTTTAACCTTTCTTGGAAGATCTTTGAAATTTTAGGAATTGTCTTGTGTCCATTTCTTTTTCTCATCTGAAACAGATATTCGTCATGTCATCCTTCAAAATTGATGCATAAAAAGTTATATCAAGCAATTAAGGTCATCAACCACCATAAGGAGAAATATCTTCTTGAAGGACCAGGGATGGAGAGCTTTGGGGCCTTTTGAGGTGTTTTTTTTTTTTTGTTAAACAGTGAAATAGGAACCAGAGTTCCAACCAAAAATAAACCCAGCGGTAGTTCAAAGGAGAGGGTGGAGGGGAATCCTTTAATACACAGGTGTGATTTGGTTGAAACAGAACTCACAAAAAGCATGGAAAACAGAGGGCCAATAAAAAAAACAAGGTGCAGAATATTGATATACAAGGAATTAGTTCAGAGTTTGATCTTATGGGTAAATCTGGAGAGGAGGGAATGAAATCTGTTCATCTGCTGGTCCTTAGAATAGGAAGACCACAGCTTTTCAGGATGGGAATGAAGAGCACTAATTAATAAAATAGACCATCAAATCTGACATATTTGTAGAAGAGTAAAAAAAGACATCCCAAAATAGGCATTCCAAAAATTCAAAAAAAAAAAATCACATTGCACAAGAGCAGACATGTTAACATACAAGCACAAAGGTAAAGCTGAAAATGTATGAAGCTAATATGTATGGAGACCTTTGGTGTAAGAGGGCCTTCATTTCCCCTGAGATCTTTGAGGGCTTCTGCTCAGAATGGTTCCCACCCTGGGGACCTTCTAGAAGCCACGAAAGGCCAGGAACTTTCATTCCAATTTTATTAATCCTACCTCATAGATTCAGTATAACCTTTCATTAATTACATGCTTGCTCTCTCGAAATGATATCATTAGACGTATCTAATTTCATACAAGAAAGCCCTCTGGGTAGGGATTATGATTGTAATCCAATTGACAGTTATGGGGGCACCACATTGCACCCATATTAGCGCTGCTCCCAGTAGTTATTGCAGATTATTTGTAAAGCTACATTTCTCGACCACCCAGCTAGATTTCGTAGAATAGGCAACCTCTGGGTTCAGAATACTGAGAAATGCCATCTGGAAGGACCCAGGATGTTTGCCTAGAAAGATTATCAGATTCGTTACTTACCTGTAATAATGTAAGTTCCTGTTCTGACCCCCTCCTCCGTCCAGTAATGAAAGCCGAGACAAGCGTAAATGGAATGTCCTTTAATAACAAGACCAGAATCTTGGTGACTGAAAGCCAAGTAAACAAACAGATAAGGATCTTGGCAGCAAATCTGACAAACCTTGGCAGCAATNTCCTTCTGTTTATGCAGCCTAGAACTGTGTTGGCTTTTTTGGCAGCTGCCCTGTTTATACCCTGTTATAATGCCTCAATTTTCTACCTGGCCTCTGCAATAATTAATTGGCAACAGGGACTTTAACAAGTGTGGGCATGGAAGAAATGTGTCATGTGAGTCGTTTGCTTTTTTCTTTTTTTACAGATTCCGATTCCTCTGGGAAGCTGAGATCGCCAAAGTCGGACTGGAGAAAGCTTCCTTAGACAAAGTGTTCTTTCAGTTTCAAAGGACGAGGATTTTCATGGACATAATTGCTAATATTTTTTATGCCAGTTTTGGTATTTTGGGGCCAGTGAGTAACCTGGAGGCGCATGTTGAGAGCTGACACCGATAACCTTTCAAAAGATTTGGAAAGAGAATTTGATGGGGTGATTTCTCAAAAATTTATCCGGGGGTGGGGGTGGGGGAAGAGGACATTTCAAACCCTTGTTCGAGGCAGAACCTTTGATAAATCCACCCCTCAATCAAAAGGCTACCCCAGAGTGGCTTTGGATCTCTTTCTTTGGGGTTGAAAGAATAGATGGGAAGCCAGGGAGGCTGGAATGGCACAACTTGGGCATGGCCAACTCAATGCAGCCAACTCGTTGTGGCCATCTCACCCTGGCCATCTCGCAGTGGACAATTCACTGCAAGACAATTCAACAATTCAATTTGAGTATTTAAAATAATTTTAATGTTTGCCATTCATTTCATTTTGCCCCTCCTTTTTCAGCTTTTTTTAATGATTCGATTCCATCATTTCTTCTATAGTAATGTGTTCTAACCCCCTCCTCCGTCCAGTAATGAAAGCCAAGACACGCTTAATGAGAATGTCCTTTAATAACAAGACCAGAATCTCGGTGGCTGAAAGCCAAATAAACAAACAGATAAGGACTTTCGCAGCAAGTCTGACAAATCTTGGCAGCAATTCAGACAAACTCTGGCAGCAATCCAGCCTGCCAAATTAGTTCCTCTTTAGTCAAAGCGTTGACTTCTGCAAGAAGGGCCTGGCACAAGCAGTCTTTTTTATAGTCTGGAGAGGAGCCTAATGACCATCAGCTGAGAGTAATTACCTCCTGTAAGTACGTAATTGTTCTTGACGCCGAGTAGTTCTTCGACGGCGTGCATCCTGGAACAACTCACTGTTGGTTTCTGGATCACTCTCCCTTGTCTCCTCTCCATTGATCCAAGG